ACATGGTTTGAAATTTAGCAGCATACCAGTGAAGAGTTTGTGCTGCTTGTTGCTTGGGAACTACCAGAGTCTTAACTTATGAAGAGACAGGTTCTAACGAAAGTGTACAATGAGAAAACCAAATACGCAGAATTACTTCCAAAATTCTGTTAATTGATACTAAACGTACAAGATTTATTGTCAATTTAAGTGCCTTGGTAAAGTCTACTGCACCATCTCTAAATAAGGTCAACCTGGCCAGTTTTCCATTAGAAGTGAGTGCTCTTCTTTAGTTAACACCAAATGCTCATCAAGATGACATTTTGTATTTAAAAAAAAAACAAAAAAAAAACTATTTCAAACATTAGACCAAACACTTTTGATAAGACATACATACAGTGAGATGTAACTGGCAATTGAGTCCAACAAAACAAAACCAGCAGCAAAATTATCCCTGGGGATTTGCTTATTAAGTGGATTATAGGTGGAATAACTAGTACTATTTAAATTATAATATTTCTTTCTCTCTGTGAGCAGAGTTCACATTAGTGCAGTAGTGGGCACATGTTACATGATACACTCTTTCTCCTTGAGAAGCTTGCAGCCTAATTAGAGAGTCAAGACAGGAATGTGTGATTAAAAAAAAAGAAGAATAATAATTGAGAAGGACGGGGCAACATATTCTGATTTTTAAACTGGCTGTAGTTATAAATAACATAATTGAAAGTCTTTTCCAAGATCTTTGAACTTTTTTGTGGAATTTCTTTTTTAATAGAGTTAAATATGAAACTAAATATACATAGCTACTTGATCAGCATGCCCATTTTCTGGGAAACATCCTGAGAAGGATGACCTAAAGGAACAGAGGTCTGTGTTTTCAATGGGGGAAATATAGTGTTCACAAAAGCTTGTAGGTTTGTTTTGTTCTCTTGGTTTTGTTATTGCTTTGGCTTCATAGGAGATTGGGTATATGAGAAGTATGTGTTGTGAAACTCAGAATGATTGTAAATGGTAAATAATAATTCTGCAGAAATGCAGATCATTTAAATTTATAAGGTAGGGTTATAATAACTATAGGTTAACTCACTGGTGATGGCAGGATAGTCCCAAAAATTTCAGCCATATGTATTGTGAACCACAGAAATGTTTATATTGGAAAATAGGGTAGGAAATTTAACATACCTTGAGACTCGAATATGTGCCCAGTACTATGATATATATTTCACAGAGTTTTCTTATTCAGTCTTAGCAACAAGCCAAAAGATAGGCACTAGTATCCTCATATTACAGATAAGGAAACAATTCCAGCAAGTAAGTAAATTGGCCAGCTCACACAAATAAGAAAACACCTCTAACTGACTACACATTCTGTACTCTTGCCGGGCGCGATGGCTCACGCCTGTAATCCCAGCACTTTGGGAGGCTGAGGTGTGCGGATCATGAGGTCAGGAGATCGAGACCATCCTGGCTAAATGGTGAAACCCCGTCTCTACTAAAAATACGAAAAAATAACCCGGGCATGGTGGCAGGCGCCTGTAGTCCCAGCTGCTGGGGAGACTGAGGCAGGAAAATGGCGTGAACCCAGGAGGCAGAGCTTGCAGTGAGCCGAGATCGCACCACTGCGCTCCAGCCTGGGTAACAGAGCGAGACTCCATCTCAAAAATAAATAAATAAATAAAAAAGAACAGATTCCCTGCTCTTCCGACAGTTGTACTGCCCCAGTGGATATATCATGCTTTCTACTTATGTGCGTTGTGCAGGAGAACACCTCTTTTTAAAACCAGCAGAGCTTCCAGGCTTGTTCACTGTCACGAGAACAGCACAGGAAAGACCCACCCCCATAATTCAATCACCTCCCACCAAGTTCCTTCCATGACACATGGGAATTGTGGCAGTTAAAATTCAAGATGAGATTTGGGTGGGGACACAGCCAAACCATATCATGTCACCCCTGGCCCCTCCCAAATGTCATGTCCTCACATTTTAAAACCAATCATGCCTTCATAAGAGTTCCCCAAAGTCTTAATTCATTTCAGTATTAACTCAGAAGTCCACAGTCCAGTGTCTCATCTGAGACAAGGCATGTCCCTTCCACCTATGAGCCTGTAAAATCAAAAGCAAGTTAGGTACTTCCTAGATACAATGTGGGTACAGGCATTGGGTAAATACAGCCATTCCAAATGAGAGACATTGGCCAAAGCAAAGGGGCTACACGCCCCATGCAAGTCTGAAATCCGGCGAGGCAGGTCAAATGTTAAAGCTCCAAAATGATTTTGAAGCTCCAAAATTATCTCCTTTGACTCACATCCAAGTCATGCTAATGCAAGAGGTGTGTTCCCATGGTCTTGGGCAGCTCCACCCCTGTGGCTTTGCAGGGTATCGCCTCCCTCCCAGCTGCTTTCATGGCTGGCATTGAGTGTCTACAGCTTTTCCAGGAGCACAGTGCAAGCTGTCAGTGGATCTACTGTTCTGGGATCTGGAGGATGGTGGCCCTCTTCTCCCAGCTCCACTAGGCAGTGCCCCAGTAGGGACTCTGTGTTGGGCTCCGACCCCACATTTCCCTTCCACACTGCCCTACCATAGGTTCTCCTTGAGAGCCCCACTCCTGCAGCAAAATTCTGCCTGGACATCCAGGTGTTTCCATGAATCCCCTGAAATCTAAGTGGAGGTTCCCAAACTCAATTATTGACTTCTGTGCACTTGCACGCTCAACACCACATGGAAGCTGCCAAGGCTTGGGGCTTGCACCCTCTGAAGCCACAGCCCAAGCTCTATGTTGGCCCCTTTCAGCCACAGATGGTGTAGCTGGGAGGCAGGGCACCAAGTCCCTAGACTGCACACAGCAGAGGGACCCTGGGCCCAGCCCATGAAACCATTTTTTTCTCCTAGGTCTCAGGGCCTATGATGGGAGGAACCCCATGAAGACCTGTGACATGCCCTGGAGACATTATCCCCATAGTGTCTTGGAGATTAACATTTGACTCTTTGTTACTTATGCAAATTTCTGCAGCTGGTTCGAATTTCTCCTCAGAAAACGGGATTTTCTCTTTTATCACATTGTCAGGCTGCAAATTTGCCAAACTTTTATGCTTTGCTTCCCTTATAAAACTGAATGCCTTTAGGCCGGGTGCAGTGGCTCACGCCTGTAATCCCAGCACTTTAGGAGGCCAAGGCAGGCGGATCACGAGGTCAGGAGATCCAGAGCATCCTGGCTAACCCGGTGAAACCCCGTCTCTACTAAAAATACAAAAAATTAGCCAGACGTGCTGGTGGGCACCTGTAGTCCCAGCTACTCAGGAGGCTGAGGCAGGAGAATGACGTGAACCCGGGAGGTGGAGCTTACAGTGAGCCGAGATCATGCCACCACACTCCAGCCTGGGTGACAGAGTGAGACTCCATCTCACAGTCTTGGAAGCTTGAAGTCTGAAATCAGGTGTCAGCAGTGCTATGCCCCCTCTGAAACTCATAAGCAAATTCCTTCTTGCTTATTAGCTTATGGAGGTTGACCAGCATGAGGTACAGTCTTTGGTGTACCTTGGTTTGGCTCTTCAGATGGCCATCTTCTGAGGAACCAGTTAAGTTGGATTGGGGCCCATCCAACTCCAGTATGACCTTATCTTAACTATTTACATCTGTAATGACTCTATTTTCAAATAAGATCACATTCTGAAGTCCTACTGGTAAGGACACCAACATTTCTTTTTGAGGGAGGATATGCTTCAACCTGTAACACCTTCCATGTTCCATCCATATCAGTACATCTTCCTTCTCAACAAAAGAAACAAAGGATGTTTTAAATTCATAATATTATCCCTGCCAAATCAGTGGTAGTGAGCAAGGAGATTGTGATGTATTCACTAAGAGGGCTGTTACCCCTTCCGTATTACAGACTGAGTATCCCTAATCCAAAATCCAGAATGCTTCAAAATTTGAAATTTTTTGAGCAGTAACATAATGTTCAAAGGAAATGCTCATTAGATCATTTCAGATTTCAGATTTTTGGATTAGGGATATTTAACTGGTAAGTATATAATGCAAATATTCCAAAATAAGAAGAAATCTTAAATAATTCTGGTCCCAAGCATTTTGGATGAGGGACATTCCACCTGTACCTTATACCAATTCTTTTTTTCAAGTAGCTGTTTTACAGAAAGTCTTAAAGCACTCTTTAAAAAATCAATATTACTGTAAACAGTTGTATCTTTATATTACAGTCCTCTCTCTATGGTATCAGAGACCTCCTAGAGCTTAATCTTTCCCCCTGTATAGCACAATAGTATTGTTTTAGTCAATTTTGTGCTTCTATAATACCACAAAATGGGTAATTTATAATGGACAGAAATTTATTGGCTCATGGGTATGGAGGCTGGGAATTCCAAGATTGAGAGGCTGGTATCTGCAGAAGGTCTTCTTGTTGCCATGTCATCCCATGGTGAAAGGCGGAAGAGCAAGAGAGGAAGCAGGGTGTTGCGTAGGAGGGGAGAAAGGGAGAGAAAGAAGCGGGAGAGAGAGACAGGGAGTCTGGGAGGGAGAGGGGAAAGTCTCACAAGATTATTTTATTTTTAGGTGGTGATGTTTTAAATTCTGATCTTAAGAAGAAATGCTGTTGGTCCTTAGGTCAAATTGACTATATAGATTATGTACTTTGATGTGATATGTGAAGACAGGAATTTCAGTGTCAAACACAAAAGAGCTATAAGGAATAAAGTTATTTTGAGCACGATGTAATGCTGTCTAATTACGAGTGGTATCCAGGTTTTCACTGGAAGATATGTAAGCAGCTACGAAAGCAATTTTAAGGCAAAATTTTACTTACACCGCAAATATATTTCCCATAAAACAAATTAAAGGTAATTTTTAAAATTTCCTTAATTTTTGATTTGTAAAGAGGATAGGCCAGTAAATAATGTATCAAACTTGTGGCTTGGCACCATATTGAATCCCAGAAATGACTTGGCCTTATGAATGACTCTTTTCAAAAGGATTAATGAATGTATAATAAGTTTTCTTTCTTTTTCTAGCCAAGGACCCTTGTCATCCATTAAAGCGGTAATCAAGAGATGTAAGTTTGTTTTTTCCTTGTCTGTATTTTCCTCTGTAATAATTTTAAGTGATGATTTAGATTTCCAGCAGGTGATTGTATCTGACACATCTACAAAGAACCCAAGAGTAGCTTCTCCTAAGAAGTATTAAAGCATTTCAGACAAACAGCTACTTTTCAGCTTGTATTTATTGATAAGCCAGTTTCTCAGAACTGTGTTTTTCTCTTACAGAACAAAGCTGGGTTTTTTTTTTCTTAATCCCAAATGTGATAGTATAAATCTGTTTTTTTTTTTAATTTGCCTATCTAGTTTCTGTGATCTAATATAAATTTTATGTAACTATTTTCTAGAGTTAGAGATATCTTACAGGTTTAAGAAATATTAAACCCTGGCCAGGTGCGGTGGTTCATGCCTGTAATCCCAGCACCTTTTTGGGGGCCAAGGCAGGTGGATCACCTGAGGTCAGGAGTTCAAGACCATCCCAACCAACATGGTGAAACCCTGTCTACTAAAAATACAAAAATTAGCTGGATGTGGTGGCACATGCCTGTAATCCCAGCTACTTGGGAGGCTGAGGCAGGAGAATCGCTTGAATCCAGGAGGCGGAGATTGCAGTGAGCCAAGATCGTGCCACTGCACTCACAGCCTGGGCAACAAGAACAAAACTGTCTCAAAAAAAAAAAACAAAAAAGAGAAGAAAAGAAAAAAGAAATATTAATCCTTGTGGTTCATTTGTTTCTACAGGTACTCTTTACAATTTATTTTTTAACTGTATAAGTGCCTATAAAGACGGGCTTATACTGCCACATCAAGATAGAAGTGCTAAGAGTAGAATTCCCATCACAAAGGAACATTTCTATTTTCTGTCCTTATCTCTTGGTTAAAACTTCAAAACTTGCCATTAGTGTGGTATTTTAACACTTTTTTAAATAAAAGGCTCTGGAAAGGTCCCTTTAAAAATAGAACATGGATTGCCTGTGTTAGAAAAGGATAAAGATAGGATTTTAGATGTTCTTCACATTATTTGAACTGAGGTTACCGCCCTGAGGAGAACGTGCCCTATTTTTAGAAGCATAACTTAGTTTTTTTTTTTCTTCCCCTGAGACAGAGTCTCTCACTGTCGCCCAGGCTGGACTGCAGTGGCGCAATCTCGGCTCACTGCAACCTCCACCTCCTAGGCTCAAGCAATTCTCCTGCCTCAGCCTCTTGAGTAGCTGGAATTACAGGCACCCACCACCATGCCCAGCTAATTTTTGTATTTTTAGTAGAGATGAGGTTTCACCACATTGGTCAGGCTGGTCTCCTGACCTCAAGTGATTTGTCCGCCTTGACCTCCCAAAGTTCTAGGATTATAGGTGTGAGCCACCATGCCCGGTCCATAATTTGTAATATTTATTATGAATTTGGGATATTCACAGGTCATGAAGAACATGCATTTGAACAATTCCAGTGAAAATTTTACTAGGTGACAATACAGAAAAATATGCCATGTTTCCCCACTTCGTTTTTTTGCTTCATTGGTGAAGTATAAATATGTGGGAATGCTATGGTATAGGATGAAAAGAATTCAGATATAAAAATGAAAAATTCTTGATAGCCTTTCATGCCTTATAACCCTTGGGTTGGGGGTGGTAGGTGATGACGGGCAGAGAGATAATTTTAATACAAAATTAGAGTCTAGAACTTAGGTAAGAATTTATTGGCTGGAGATATAACTTAGAGTAATCACAGTTATAAGCAAAATCCTGGAAGTAGCCAAACATGTAGGGAGAAAGTACACAGGATAGGAAAGATGAGAAGGGATAGAATCTTGGAGACACTGACATCTGAGGACAAGCTATGCCTTCAAGGGGCGTAAGGCAAAAATGCATGACCCAGTGACCCCAGCCCTGCTGTGAAAGGCCCCCTTTCACTGAGTCATATCTGTGGGCTCCTGCCTTTGTTCCCTGGCTTCTTACCTTAACTCCCTTGGATTTCAGGACTTTTTTGTTAGGGAATCACAACCTGTGCCTGACTTCCCATGGATGCCCCAAGATGGATCTTGCTTACCTAGAGACCCCTATGCTGTGCAAGGCGCAGCTAAGACATGGGCAGTAAAAGCTGAAAAGGGATGGTCAGAGTAAGTAAGTAAATAAATAAATAGATAGATAAATAAATAACAAGAGACAGCTGTGTTTTAGAGGTCAAAGGAGATTTTAAAAGGAACAGGCGAATCACCAGTAGCTCTTAATACTACAGCCAGGCCAAGCAAAAGGTGCTGAGAACAGATTCTTGTGTCTGGTGCTTAGGAGGTCAGTGCAAACCCATGAGAGAGCAGTTTCAGTAAATATTGAAGTTGGAAGCCACACTTCAGTTTCAACCATGAATAGAATATGTGGAAGTTGGGACGGCTAGGGTAGCCTACTCTTTTGTGAAATTTGGTGGTGAACAGGAAAGATATGGGCTGTAGTTTGAGGAGGAGGCAGAATTAAGGAAAGAGGAGATCTGACCATGCTTAGGATGAGGAAGCATGAAGACATTTGTAGGCAGCGGGGAAACAGACAGTGGAGGGATCAGACTGGAGCCATGAAAGAAGAGAAAACGATGAAACAGGGCCCTAGCAGAGAGAGGAAGGAGGATATGAAACAAAGGAAAAACCCTTTCTTTGAAGTAGCTGGTGTTTTTTGGTTTTTAACTCAGTTGTCTTTTAATTCTTCTGTCAGTCACTTTGTAAACACTAAAGTAAACTTGTATTCCTGATGTTTAGGCAGGAAGGCCAAACAGATCCTTTTATGATAACATATAAATACAGAATGAGGAACAATTGTGCCTTTCCCTTTTGTTTTCTTCTTTTTGCCTATTCTATAAGAAAAAGCTGTAAATAATTTTTATCTCAGCCAGCCCATTAAAATGTATATGTTACTATCCCATACTCAGTCATCTAACCCTGGCAAGCAGAAAGACTTTATCCCATTTTAAAGTGATATTCCTTAACTGTTAGTAGTTCAACTTATTTCATAATCATTCTGGTTCCAGTCAAGCATTGGGGTCCTTTTCTTTGCATGTATTCTTATGAGTCCTGAATATTTTTGGTAAAGTGTTTTGATATATCCTAATTGGATACATCTAGAATTTTACGTTCTTCCTTTCATTAACTTTTTAAGAGAAAATTATTTTCTGAAATTCAGACTTAGTTAATATTGCTTACCTACTATAAGTCAGGCACTGTTTCCATACATTATAGAATAGCACTCTGCATGGTAGGTGTTGACCCATTTTACATGTGGTAGTGAAACTGAGTCTCAGAAAGGTTAAGTGGCTTCACAAGGTAGAGCTGAGATATGAACCTGGCTTCCTGACTTCAAGGCCATTCAGCTTTCCACTTCACAGATGTTCTTGTTATCATGTCAAATGCATCTAACTCTCATACCCTGTCCCAAACAAAGGTAGTCAGTAAGTTTCTTATATTATTGTGATTTGCGTTGATCTTTCATTCATAGTTCATTGATCATTCATTCATAGTTCTATGGCAAGGGTATGTGTAATTAATAATCTTTCTATGTGTTTATTTCTTCTGACATCATTTAATTGATAATTTTGAATTATTTAGATCAAGACTAGCTAGCATCCCACTCTCCTGGCTCCACATAGAGTTAAACTGCTTCAAGAAACAAACCGCTCCTAGCCTTGCTCCTAAAGGGCTGTTGGACCTAGGATAATTCATTTAACCCCTCTGTATCTCAGTCTCCTCCTCTGTGAAGTTTGAGTAGGTCGATCGCTGAGGGCCTTTCCAGGCTTGAGATCCTGCTGGAATTCAAGAAGATTCTTTATTGGTGATAATACTGCACATCTACATCTCAACTCTAACATGAATATGTTTTGTATTTAGAATTTAACCACTTGAACTAGAAGAGTTTGACAATAGGCCGAGCACAGTGGCTCATACCTATAATCCCAGCACTTTGGGAGGCTGAGGCGGGCGGATCACCTGAGGTCAGGAATTTGAGACCAGCCTAGCCAACATGGTGAAACCCCATCTCTACTACAAATGCAAAAATTAACCCAGCACGGTAGTGGACACTTGTAATCCCAGCTACTAGGGAGGATGAGGCAGGAGAATCTCTTGAATCTGGAAGGCGGAGGTTCCAGTGAGCCGAGGTCGCGCCTCTGCACTCCAGTGTGGGCGACAGAGACCCCATTTCAAAAACAAAAGAAAAGTTTGAAAATAATTCTGTGAAATGATAGGATAACTTTTACTGAAAATACTGCCTTTATTCTGTGGCATTAACCCAAAACGTACAAGACTAGCAGCTTATGGCAGAAAGGTAAAATGGGACATGCTTGTCTAAATGAGCACTCTGGCAAATTCGATTTTCCTGGCAACGACAACAAATTTGTTTAATCTGGGGAAGTGAAAATGAGATATATAACCGGATAGTTGAGAAATTAGCAGAAAGAGCATAAGACAACACATGAAAATCTGCGGTAAAAACCGAAAGTGTTTATAGCTATTAATCTTGTTCAGCACTGACAGAAGGTGTCAGTTTTTCCAGAAGGATCAAGAGAGAAAAGAAAGATTTCATAGATGAGTGAGTGTGAAAAAAATCAGAGGAGAGGGGAAAGCAGTGATTCTCAAAGGATGTGCCGAAGGAGATCTGTAAGTACGACTGCAAGACCCCTGTGTTCTGCAGCAGCAGTGCCACTCTGCTGCCAGGGGGCCTGCTACGAATGACCTCTGGTGTGAACCAGCAGAATCAAGTTAAAATTGCTGATTTGAAACAATGTAAATCGACTACTGAATTACCTTTTTAAAGTACTATTCATACTTTAAAATCAATCCTTATTGAAGTAGCAAACTGATTTTGCAAAATAGTTTTTAGATTTTTTAAAATTGTTGTTAAAAACTGCAGAGAGGCCAGGCACAGTGACTCATGCCTGTAATCCTAGCACTTTGGGAGGCCAAGGTGGGCGGTCACTTGAGGTCAGGAAGTCAAGACCAGCCTGGACAACATAGCAAAACCCCGTTTCTACAAAAAATAGAAAAAGTAGCCAGGTGTGGTGGTGCATGCCTGTAGTCCCAGCTACTTAGGGGGGCTGAGGAAGGAAGATTGCTTGAGCCAGGGAAGTCGAGGCTGCAGTGAGCCAATATTGCGCCACTGCACTCCAGCCTGGGTGACAGAGCAAGACCTTGTCTCAAAAAAACAAAACAAAACAAAACAAAACAAAACAAAAACCTACCAGCGGGTTATCCTGGTCTGCACAGACAAATCTTTGCAGCAATATTTCTTTACTCTCTGAAACGGTGGATCATCAACTTTCCTTTTCCATTTAAGTGTGCATAGCAGGGGTAAACAGTGGTATGGCAAGACAGTCATGCTCCTGAATTCCTTTTAAAGATTAGACAACTAGGTTCACTCTTTGCTCTTCCTTTCCTCTTCTATAACCCCTTCTTTTTTTCCCTTAGCACTCATGAATAGTACACAGCAAAAATGCCCCGTGGAAGAGGTATGTTTGTGACAATAACATGAAGTCTTTAGAAGTGTTATCCCTGCTGATTTCAGTGTTAGTGATGGTGGTGATGTGATTGTAGCAAACTTGAGTGGGCCTCTGACTTAATGAAACCATTCTTACCAATCAGACACACCATGCAGATCTCCAGCCTCCCTGTCAGCTTGGTTTAGCTCCTGATAAAAATGTTAATGGGCCGGGTGCGGTGGCTCACGCCGGTAATCCCAGCACTTTGGGAGGCTGAGACGGGCGGATCACGAGGTCAGGAGATCAAGACCATCCTAGTTAACATGGTGAAAGCCCATCTCTACTAAAAATACAAAAAAAAAGTAGCTGGGCATAGTGGTGGGCGCCTGTAGTCCCAGCTACTCGGGAGGCTGAGGCAGGAGAATGGTGTGAACCCGGGAGGTGGAGCTTGCAGTGAACTGAGATCGCGCCACCGCACTCCAGCCTGGGCGACAGAGCAAGACTCCATCTCAAAAAAAAAAAAAAAAAAAGGTTAATGGTCAGTCAAACCAGTTGATGGTATGAATATGAGGACATCCTCCAAGTAGACCCGGGGTTTTGGTTTCAGATGTTAAAGGTTTGCTTTGCCAACCCAGCAGAGGTTTACCTGTCATGGCTCCAATCCGGCCTAAATTTCATTCCCACCTTCCACCTCCACCCCTGCCTCCCCCAGTTTTGACAGCCTCCTTGTTCAGAGAGAAGCAGAAGTTAATAGGAGAGGGGAAAGATCTATGCTTCCAATCTTTTCAAATAGGAAGAATTGAACAAGTTGAGTATTACAGAGGTATGAAAGCAAATAGTTAAAATAGTTTATATCTGAAACAAATTTCCTTTGTGCACGAATCTTTACAGTATAGTATTTGAAGATTTTTTTTTCCCCAAAGAGATCTTTAGAATATGTTCCTTGAAAAATAGAGGTAATAGTCTCTATTACATAAAAATTGACCCCATATGGGCCGGGCGCGGTGGCTCACACCTGTAATCCCAGCACTTTGGGAGGCTGAGGCGGGTGGATCACAAGGTCAGGAGATCAAGACCATCCTGGCTAACATGGTGAAACCCCATATCTACTAAAAATACAAAAAATTAGCCAGGCATGGTAGCAGTTGCCTGTAGTCCCAGCCACTCGGGAGGCTGAGGCAGGAGAATGACATGAACCCGGGAGGCAGAGCTTGCAGTGAGCCGAGATCATGCAACTGCACTCCAGCCTGGTGACAGAGCAAGACTCCGTCTCAAAAAAAAAAAAAAAAAAAGAAAAGAAAAATGACACCATATGTGATATGTTCCAGATTATCTTATTAAGACTTGGTTTACTTTATGAAGTAAAATTTGGGGAAAAATTTAAACTATCAAGCTTAAGGACTTGAGTTTGAGACTTAAGGAAAAAGTCAGTGCTGCATATATAATAACATATGCTATAAACACGTTTATAAAAGTGATCTGAATACCTTTTACATTTATTATTATATCTTAATTTAAATAATAAAAGGCTAGGCATAGTGGCTCATGCCTGTAATCCCAGCACTTTGGGAAGCCCAGGCAGGAGGATCGCTTGAACCCAGGAGTTTGAGACCAGCAACATGGCGGCACCTCATCTCTATAAAACATACAAAAAATTACCTGGGCATGGTGTCATATGCCTGTAGTCCCAGCTACTTAGGAGACTGAGGCAGGAGGATCACCTGAGTCTGGGAACTTGAGGCTGCATTGAGCCCTGAACATCATGCCCCTGCACTCCAGCCTGAGCAACAGAGTGAGACCCTGTCTCAAAATAAATAATAAAACAACTTAAAGGTTATAAAATTTCAGATAAGTTAGACTAAAAATGAAAATTTGACAAGTTTCATTCTATAATAGATTTATAAACAAACATCACAAAAGCATAGTCATATAGATTGGAATAGACATTTAAAATTTTTTCTGCCCATTGTTACTTCATGTCATCACTTAATGCTCCAACCATGCAATTTATATTTAATAGGTGTCTTCTTTTCTCTGTTCATTCTTCAAATTATTTTCACAACTACAGAATGTTCTTTGGGGAGTTTTTGAAATCTATATATTATGCAATCTCCAATATATAACCATAATTAACTTTATGCCAGTAAAATGATTATTTTGATTTACTTTTTTATTTAAGGATATTAAAATTCATACATTCTATATGATGTCAAGTATAAGCTTTTTCCAATTGTGTAATCTGTAAAAATTTAAACCCTTACCAAACGTACTAATTTTGTACTATACCAGTTTATTCCTTCTTCAACAGCTTCTCGGACTTCTATTCAGAGTGAACTTCATCGAGACAGAAGGTATGGTTATATTTATAATGGAGAACATATATTAGGCTAATAACTGAAATAAAAGTGTGTTATCAGGTAGCAAGTTAAATGTTTTGCTTTCATAAGCAATGTATTCTTATATTCTGCTTCATCAGTATATCTCCTGAATTAACTTGTAAGTTTGAAAGATGATTTTGCTTGAGAGAATGAGTGATACAGGCTTGAAAATGTTCTTTTGAGTGTAATTATTTGCTGAAGTTGATTTTTTAAATGTTTGTTAAACAACTGCTACATGTAAAGCATTGTAACTGCTTCAGAGAAATGCTTTGTACCTCATGCTACGTAGTAGTACTTGTTGCCTAACCAAATGGATGGATGACAGGATAGAAAATTGAATGAAAGGATAAAGAAAGGAAAAGAGGGGATAGGCACAATGAATAAAGGCTGGACGGCTTTTTGGAAGAAGGAAGGGAAAAGAGAAGGAAGAAGAGATAATATTTGGGTAGATAGAAGGAAGGACCAGTGGACAGATGGACAATAGAATGGATGGAAGGATGGATGGACAAATAAAAGAATGGGAGAAGTGGACAAATGGCTAAATGAATGGATAGATTTTTTTTTTTTACATTACATCATGATATTCAATCAGATAGAGAGATTTTTATAAGTCATGGTCCCAGCTGTCAAATTTCTTACAGTATGGTATAGAATAATGAAGGACAAGGACTTTAGAGTCAGAACCAAGTTCAAATCCTGACCACCACTTTCTACCATATGACCTTGGATGACAAGCTGCTTAATCTCGCTAGCTTCTTTGTCCCATCTTTAAAATGGTGCTAATCATACCTACATCACAAGGTTGTCATAAGAATTAATGTACATACAATGCTTAACATTTATTAACTAATAACTCTTACTGTTTAGACAGAAGCTATAAGCAGAGGTTTTTAGGGAGTGCAGTTCAAATTTAATCAATGATCAGCTTCTACTGTTTCACAATGTAGCATGAGTGTGTATGTAATGCATAATTTTGATAATGACAGTGGTTTTTTGTTTTTATTTTCCATAGAGTGCTAGAGAAAGGCAGAGCAGGTATTATCATCCATATATGTCCCGTGAGAAAACTGAGTTTTCCAATCAAAACTGTTGATTGATTTGTTCAGGGTCACACAGTTGGTGTTTGTTAGGAAATCAGGTTGAAGAGAAAATGTAAACATGCTCCAGGCCTAGTGCCTTACACCTTTAATCCCAACACTTTGGAAGGATTGTTTGAGGCCAGGAGTTCGAAACCAGCCTGGGCAAGATAGCGAGCCCTCATCTCTCTACAAAAAATTTTTAAAAATTAACCAGGCATGGTGGCATGTGCCTGTAGTCCCAGCTACTCAGGAAGCTGAGGGGAGGGGAGCTCAAGGCTGCAGTGAGCTGTGATTGCACCGCTGCAGTCCAACCTGGGCAACAGAGCAAGGCCCTGTCTCTGCAAAATTAATTAATTACTTTAAACATGAGAAGGTAGAATCAGATTAAGAAAAAGATAAAAGGAGCCATGCTGGCCGGGCGCGGTGGCTCAAGCCTGTAATTCCAGCACTTTGGGAGGCCGAGACGGGTGGATCACGAGGTCAGGAGATCGAGACCATCCTGGCTAACACGGTGAAACCCCGTCTCTACTAAAAATACAAAAAACTAGCCAGGCGAGGTGGCGGGCGCCTGTAGTCCCAGCTACTCAGGAGGCTGAGGCAGGAGAATGGCGTGAACCCGGGAGGCGGAGCTTGCAGTGAGCTGAGATCCGGCCACTGCACTCCAGCCTGGGTGACAGAGCGAGACTCCGTCTCAAAAAAAAAAAAAAAAAGGAGCCATACTAAATCACTACAGCTCTCCAGTATTAAAGATTAATCATCAAATCATATACAAAACTGACCATGAACCCAGAGACACATCCCAGAGTCTAGAAGTGAACATGTAAACCCAAAACACTTAAACATAACTGTGAACTGTAACAGAGATGAAGTAAGGCAGAAGAGGATATTCTTTTTAAATAGTAATTTTCATTTCAGAGTATGCGCTTTATAATAACAGAAAACCAAGCTGGGTGTGGTGGCTCACGCCTCTAATCTCAGCACTTCGGGAGGCTGCGGTGGGCAGATTGCTTGAGGTCAGGAGTTCGAGACCAGCCTGGCCAATATGGTGAAACTCCATCTCTACTAAAAATACAAAAATTAGCCGGGTATGGTGGTGCACTTCTGTAATCCCAGCTGCTCGGGAGGCTGAGGTACGAGAATTGCTTGAACCTGACAGGTGGAGGTTGCAGGGAGCCAAGATCGAGATCACATCACTGCATTCCAGCCTGGGCAACAGAGTGAGACTCTGTCTCAAAGAATAATAATAATAATAACAACAGAAAAACAATTCCATTTGACTGGTGGGCTTTTATACCTTATGCTATATGTCTGCCCTAAGGCTAGATAGCTCTGGATTGAAGAGATTGTATAGGCCTTACTTAGTTTTTATCAACCAAGGCAGAGCCAAGTGTGCCCAGGGTCCAGCTCTAACTTTTTGAGGCCAAAGTCATAGAGGATGATTGTCATGTGCTCCCTTGAAGCCTGTCTGGGCGTACTGTCAGAGACAGCCCAGGCCGGACAGGTCATTTCTGTGACTGTGTTAGTTCTTATAACTTTTTGGGTGGTGGTGGTTTTCATGAATCTTTGGACATTTACAGATAGACCGTAGCTTGTTACCATCCTGCAAAACCTCACTGAGGCTTCTGTCCACTAGGCGTCCAGAGATCACCATTGTGGCAGCTGAGCCGCTGAGGCCAGCCTCGTGGTTTCCAGGAACCCCACCCCCAGGATTGGGATTTCCTACATCATCTGCAGCTGGCTCTTGGAGGCCTAATGAGCTGGTTCCTGCTGAGGTGAATAAACATTACATTATCTCTTTGCATTTTATTTTTTAAATGAAATTCGAAGCTAAGAACAGTGAGACTGTCAACACCTTGGCTATTGCCCTTAGATGTCTAAAATCTTCATTCTCTACTTTTCAGCTCCCACCATCTTATGAACAAGTTATAAAAGAAATCAACCAAGTTCAAGTTAATACTACAAATAATAATAATGCTGCTGCTACTCCAAGGCACACTATTACTTCTGCAACTCAGACTGACTTTTCAGAAGTAGACAACGATCTGCCTCAAAGTAATGCAAGTAATTTGTCTTCCCTAACTCTGACCTAGTTCTAGGGAAGTAATCTGTAGGCTTCCAGCCTTTAAAATAATTTGCAATTTGTGTATAATTCATTGAGCTCTGCTGCCCAGTCAGTGTGATCACTGTGTGCTTGCTTTTTTTGGGTATGCGGTGATTATTGTAATAGATCATTCTTACAAACTGCAACCCCAATCTCTTGTGCTTACCCTAGTTTATATCACAAAAACATTATCCGTATAATTCATGGTGGGTATTACCGCTGATTCCATTCATTCCCACTGAGAAGTATCTTATATTTAGCAACTTATACTTGATAAGATGCTAAGGGTGGTTGTCCTGTTAGGCTTTTTTAAAGTGTTGCACAGTGGCTCATGTGGCTCAATCCCAGCACTTTGGGAGACTAAGGTGGGTGGATTCCTTGAGCACAGGAGTTTGAGACTAGCCTGATGGCCGGGCGCAGTGGCTCACGCCTGTAATGCCAGCACTTTGGGAGGCCAAGGCAGGCGGATCATCTGAGGTCGGGAGTTCGAGACCAGCCTGATCAACATGGAGAAACCCTGTCTCTACTAAAAATACAAAATTAGCCGGACATGGTGGCGCACACCTGTAATCCCTGCTACTCAGGAAGGCTGAGGCAGGAGAATCACTTGAACCCAGGAGGTGGAGGTTGAGGTGAGCCGAGATTGCACCACTGCACTCTAGCCTAGGCAACAAGAGCGAAACTCAGTCTCAAAAAAAAAAAAGAGACCAGCCTGGGCAACATGGTGAAACCCCATCTCTACAAAAAAAAATGCAAAAATTCGCTGAGTGTGGTGGGGTGTGCCTGTAGTCCCAGCTACTAGGGAAGCTGAGGTGAGTGGATCGCTTGAGCACTGGAGGGTGAGGCTGCAGTGAGCTGTGTTAGAGCCACTGTACACCAACCAGGGCAACAGAGCAAGACCCTGTCTCAAAAAAAAAAAAAATGTGTTATATGAAGAGCACTCCTACTGGAAACAGAATAAACGTTTCCATTTTTGAATCACTTTTAACTAATTAAAGAAACCAAAATCTCTTGATATTCCAGGTATGTAATTTTAAATCTGTGTATCTTCTGTGTTTTTTTTCTTATAAATTGTTAACATTATGGCTTGTTTTTATTTGTTTTGGTTTTGTTTTGGTCTCATCAGCACTACAGGCACCTCTCAAGCCTCTTCAGCCTTTCCCAACAGTCTCATCTGGCAATCTTCCAACGAATGTGGCACCTTTAATAGTCTTTGATATTTCTGAAGAACAGAATTGTCCAGAAAACCCCAGTGCTACAAGATGTCCAGTGCCAAAACCAAGATCAAAAAGCAACCTCAGACCAATACCCAGAGATTCTCACAGTAAAGAGCAAAGTCACCAGAAAATCAGCCCAGCAGCCATAGGAGAGGAGTCATCCCCAGGCCGGCCCCAGTCTCTGCTGGACAACACTAGCACCTCAGACAGTCAGACAGTGATGAACATTATGAACACGGAACAAAGCCAAAATAGTATTGTTTCCAGAATTAAAGTGTTTGAGGGTCAGGCAAATATAGAAACCTCAGGACTGCCCAAGAAACCAGAAACTACTCCACGTTCACTTCCTCCAAAGCCTACTGTTTCCTCAGGGAAACCTTCTGTAGCTCCCAAACCAGCTGCTAGCAGAGCTTCTGGAGAATGGGACTCTGGGACTGAGAACAGACTCAAGGTGACCTCCAAGGAAGGACTCACCCCATGCCCTCCCCTGCAAGAAGCAGGAAGCCTCCCAGTTACCAAACCTGAATTGCCAAAGAAACCAAACCCTGGCCTTATACGAAGTGTTAATCCTGAGATTCCAGGAAGAGGGCCCCTGGCTGAGAGCTCTGACAGTGGGAAGAAAGTGCCAACTCCTGCCCCGCGGCCTTTGCTGCTGAAGAAATCTGTTTCCTCAGAAAATCCCACCGACCCTTCAGCTCCACTGAAACCTGTCACTGTTCCTCCCCGACTCGCAGGGGCATCACAAGCCAAAGCATACAAGTCACTGGGAGAAGGGCCCCCAGCCAACCCCCCAGTTCCAGTTCTGCAGAGCAAGCCCTTGGGGGACATCGATCTCATCAGCTTTGATGATGATGTTTTGCCCACCCCATCGGGGAACCTGGCTGAAGAATCTGTTGGTTCAGAGATGGTTCTAGGTAAGTGAAAAATCAGCAGTGGAAGGCAATCTAAACTCATGATAGGGTATTTTAAATGGCACTTGCTGTTTTAGTTTCTAGTGCGTAAGTTACTGAGATGTGTGTATGCAAGTATGTGCACATGCATGTGTGTGTGTAGAAACAGACAGGAATGAACAGAGAGATCACAAAACACAGAGCTAAGTGGGGAATGGAGACAGGGAGGGAAGGGGAAATACAGGATGGGGGTGATGGAGTCAGAAAGGGGGAGACACATGCATCGATTACTATGGTATGAGCCAGAAGTAAGCAGACTGGGGCTAGGGGCTAAACTATAATAGCTTGTGGGGCTGGCTTCCCTGACTCTTGACAGTTGGAAGTTCAGGCGTCACATTGAAAGGATCCAGGGAGGTTAGGGAATGTGTAGAAGGATGCAGAGGAGGCTTTTCATAGATGAGAAGTCATGCCCTGGCCCCAGAGGGGCTCCTCAGATGAAATGGGCCTCAGCTGGGAGTGCTGGGCGAGGGGCCAGCGCCAGGGGAGGACTCAAAAATGTACAGAATGAAGACCCAGCCACATGTTGCAAAATTGTTCCTTTAATCTTCATAGAACATCTTCCCTTGAGAGTGAAAAATTTTGTAAATAAAATACAACAGTTGTAAGGTAGCTGCCAAGATCAGTACAATTAAATATCCCAGAAGGTAGAGAGTGTGTTTTCTTTCTTCTCACTGTTCCGTTGGAGAGTGTGATGGTAAAGCTTGTCTTTGATTTGTCAAACTAAGCTGCTCTACTTGTCATTGATAAGATTTATTTTACTGCTGTTTACTTATTTGCATGGAATTTGTGAACGTATAAACTTAATAGAATTTTCAAAAGGTTAACTGTCACTGTATAAATGTTTAACATGCATCAAAAGAGTACAGGCTCTGTGATTTCAAAACCAAATTCTGCATAACACAGGTGTATTTAAAATGAAAGCAAACATAACACATTATTAAATATTCATCATGCACAGAACATTGTAACTGACACACAACATTTTAGCATGTAAACTAAAAGACATACATGGCTTTTGTCCATAAAGGGTGGAAGGAAAAACATTTTAATATATTAAGCTTCTGCAGTGTACCTAATGCTCTCCTAGATACCGAGACATACATTATTTTATTTAATACTTGCAACAACCCTCTGTGAGATATCACTGCCTACGTTTGCAGATGAAGACAGTGAGACTGAGAGAGATCTATGGATCATTTGCCCAGTGTCATAAAACGATTGTCCAAGTCAGGATTCAAACTTAGTGTTTTTATTCTAAGTCTAGTTTATTTTTCACTGTATAATGTTGCTACCCAATATTTTCATGAATCCTTAACCAGGCAACACTTTAAAAACTTTTCAAGTCTTTGATAACCATTTTCTTGTATAAGCATTTTTGGTATTAACAAGATTCAGAGAAGGACAGGGATAGATAAACCCAACAGCAGCAAGCTGAAGAAATATTACCTTTTGTAGAACTTGCTAGTTTCTATGGGGATGGCAACTTGACTAATAATTGCTGAGAATTTATTTTGTATCATCTAGCAGGTGATTATAGTCATCTTCAAAAAGGAAGGTCAACAATATACTTTCAACATAAATACAGTCTCATGCTTCATACTCAGCCTTTTCTGTTTCTTGATTTCTACCACTTCATTGCACAACACTTAATTATTGGGGCGTCTTTTAGCAAAGTGTGTAATTTGCTTGTGCTATCTGACTTTAACCATTGCTCTTGACTATGGAGTTATGCTGAGCTGAATACTATCTTCTTTCTAAACCGTGCCTTCTTCCTATATTTTGCAACTCACTAGTGACACCATCACACACACCAGCCTTCCCTGGAGAAACCCAGAGATCATCCTTGAGTCTTCTCACTGTGTCACGCAGTGACTAGCTGTTCAGATTTGGAGTCTGCCAGGGTCTACCACATTTGTTATGTGACCTTGGGCAATTTTCTTATCCTCACAGTGCCTCTGTTTCCTCATTTGTAAGACATGATACTACTCCTCACCGAGGTTATTGCAAGGGTTAAATGTGATCATATAGGAAAGCGCTATCACGTTGTGTGAAATACGATGATCATTAAGTAGTAGTTTTATGATTGTTACTTCTCTGCCTTCACATCTAATTAGTTACCAACTCCTGCTGGTTTTACCTTCCAAATAGTTCTTGACTCTGCCTCTCCTTTTCATCCTTCCCTGTTCTGCCTCACTTTAGGCCTTTACACTCTGGTGGCTGCAGTGGCCTCCGAAATTGAGCCCACTCAGACAAGCCTATCACACTCCATACTGTGGCTACCCAGGGGGAGTTTCTATACTGCACACTGGCCCTTGTTGCCTCCCTGCTTACGCCCTCCAGAGGCCTTCAGGATCACCTCTGAATGCCTTGACAAAAACCCGTGGAGGGGTTTTTGTTTGCTTTTCGATTTGGGGCTTTGTGACTTTTTGGTGGTATTTTGGTAGCATTGTCATTGTAAATAAAGGTTTATGGTCCTGGGAAACCTTGCCTAATCATCCAGACACCAGGCAGAAACTGGGAGAGGAACACAGGAGAAAGAAGAGAAACTTACAAATAAGGTCTTCCCTTCCCTTTCTCTTACCTCAAAATTAAAGAAAATCTAATAAAATAGCATTCATAAAATGAAGTTGCCATATTAATCTCAGGAAATAGAGATCTGCAAATACTGAAGCTATGAAAACATCGTAAAGATTAGAAAAATTATTAAAGGAAAACTCATAAAACAGGCAATTTAATATTGGATTCATTTCTTGGGTAGAATGCCTTCCAGGTTAATGTAATGGAGCCCAGAAGTATTAGCAATTCTTCTTCACACCTTTACAAATCATACCCAGCTGTCAGAAGAAGGAGAATGTTTCTGCCGGCAGCCCCAGTAAACAGACCAGAATAATAGTTTAGCAGCCAATTTCTGCTGTTAACAGAACTCAAGGGAAAGAAATGACAGAAAAGCAAGCCAGGGATGGTGAAACTAATTGTGATGACAAGCATATTATTAGAGACAGTTAATGGGTGGAAAACTACTTTATCGTCAGTGTTTTTCTCAGTCCGGTAATGAAGACCATGCGGGTATAGGTGTAAAGAGGCCTCTGCTTGTTCACCAGCAGGTGTGGAATACCTGGTGCTGGCGTAAGGGGTAGAGGGAAGACAGAATAAACACTGCACATATAAGTAGACAAAAATGCCATCCCTGCAAATAAAAGTAGACAAAAATGCCATTTTCTTGTCTTAGATTCAGATAGGAGATTCTTCTTGAGATGCTCCGTGTTTTTTGTGTTCTGTTTTTCTGTAGAAGCAAGAGCAGTCTGTGATAGAATTATGGCAGCAAGTTCTTAACCCTTTCCAGACTGCCAAACTCTGAGAATCTGAGGTAGCCTGAGAGGCTTTTCTCGCCTTGAAAATAGCCATTAATTCAATGACTGGAGCTTTGAGGGGAAAAAAAAAAAAAAGAAAATAGCCATTAGTCATGTGTACACAATTCAAGGTACAATATCCAGAGCTTCGAGGGCCCATTTGGGCTCTAGAATTAAGGACTTCTACTATAGAATATTGGAAATAAATGTCAATGGACTGCTTAAATAAATTATGGTATATCCATAACAATGGAGTATTGTGTGATAATTAAAAGGGAGAGAGACCTGTTATCCCCTACTTTGGACCAACCTCCAAGATATTATTAGGTGAAAAATGCAAGATACAGGATACTTTTTGTGTTATTTTAGCTGTTGTTTGTGTTAAATTTCAAATGCAATGTACAGTGATGTATGAAAAGGTGGTACAAAGGTTGTCTTTTATGAAGGAACTGGATAGGAGAGAACAGGGAATTTGGTTTTCACTGTAAGCATTTTGATCCCTTTTGAATTTCAGACCATGTGGAGGCATTACCTTTAACAAGGTATTTAATCAGTAATCTTTTTAAAATAGCTGAACATAAGCATAATTAGGCTGAAAGAAACTGGGAGAATTATCTCTTGTCGTCTTTGCCACTTCTGAAGAACTGCTTCCCCCACTGACTCTCAGATTCTGATAAGTAGAAATTTTTAAAATAACAAAACAGTGATTTATCTAAATGGTTATATTATTCAAGGTTACAAAATAGAAGCTAATTGTTGTGAACTAAATACGTCTAAATTAGATAAATTCAAAATTTTATATCTGCATTATTTCCTTTTAAATTAAATCCCAAAAAAAGAGTTTTTATTTTTCTAGTTGCTTTATGGAAAATTTTATGGCCATTATTGCCTTGAAAAAGCAACGAAAGAAACCAGAAATTTCCTCTTTTGTTCTCTTATTTTTAAGTGGTTTTGTTCTGGTTTGTTTGGCAGAGGTGTTAACTCAGCTTAGTCTTGTAACTTTTTCCTTATGATTGAATTTATTTTATTGGATTTGTTTCTGTTAGAAAAGTAAAATATATTCATTGTAACAAGTCAAACAATTCAGAGATTTTGGATTTAAAAAAAAATGTAATCTCCCCACAGTAACCAGTACGAACAAAGTATGCAGCCTTCTGTGCCTTTGGGCATGCCAAACCAAAGCTTACACATATATACATAGTGGACTTTTTCCAGAAATTTTTACCATCCTACACCTGTTACTCAGCAGAGTGCTTTATTAAACAATGACATTTATCACTTCTCTTCAGGATAATAGGTCTAATTCTAATTCATTGTCTCCTTATACCCACCTGATACCTCATAGTGTATCATAGCTGCTTCAGTATTTCCCCTGTTGATGGACATTCAGGTTGTTTCGTTTGTTTTTTATTTGGTGGGTTGGGGGGGAGGTTATTTTGTTTTGTTCCTTGTTAGTTTTTGCCACTACAAAAAATGCTGTAGTAAATACCCTCATAAGCATGTTCACTTCTGCTGAGGCTTTTATTTCTGAAGAATAAATTTCTGAAAGTGGGACTACTAGTCAAAGGTTATGAATGTTAAACATTTTAACTAGTACTAATGATCCAGTTTCTTACCTGGTGGTGTCTGGAGTACCCCAATATGAAGTGCCAGCCTTGCTTTGTAGGTTGCGCACTTATAACTTCTGTTGGGAAAAAAATAGCCCTCTTATGAAAAGAGATAAAAAGTGAACTTATGTTGCTAGAGAGAAGCTTGCACACCATCATAAGATAAAAAACAGGCCTCTGGCTCCACCTTCTCATTGAAGTAATGCTGTTTATCCTCCCCACTAATCTGCACTCCTCGCATGGATCACAGCCCAGACAACATGCAGACAGAGAGGCAGATGCAGAGCTCACTGACTCAGTGAGCACAGCTGGGGGAGATCATTAAACAGACCACTCCTGCCAAACAGCCTGCGGTGATGGAACACGAAGACTTCCTTGCCTCGCTACATGGAGAAAGAATTTTTTTTTTTTTTCCGGAGACATGTATAGTAGAATGATTACACACGATCTGAGTGCCAATTATTAAAAAACAGCTAACGGTATTAAAAATGAAAAAACGAGAGAGAGTAAGCTAGGACACTTTGAATACTTCATAAGTTATACCTATACTACTTCAATTTAAATCCTTCAGGTTAAAACAAAAAATGATTGGACCCTTTAACACGATAGGTGAGATCTGCCCACACTGTGTGCAGGATTTGGGTCAGGATTTCCTGAGGCCATTCTTCCCACAGCAAGCACATTTTGGATGCCTCCTGTGTTCAGCCCCTCAGAGGTGCTGATTGTCCTCTTTTCTCCTTTCCCTGCCCGCCCCTACCCCCATCCATGTCCTTACTTGTGAAATGTGAGGTGTAGGTCTTATACTGGCCCAGAATTTAATTTGATTTGGGAAACAATTTAAGTCATTACATGCTCAAGATTTTCTCCACATTCACACCCACCCCAAAAGCCTCATTAACTAAAATTTTAAACTAATAACCAACAGGTTATTGGTACCAAAAGCAGCTGTTTAAGAAATAGCACTTCAGGCCAGGCACGGTGGCTCACACCTATAATCCCAGCACTTTGAGAGGCCAAGATGGGAGGATCACTTGAGCCCAAGAGGTCCAGACCAGCCTGGACAACACAGTGAAACCTCATCTCTACAGAAAATGAAAATTAGCCAGGCATGCTGGCACATTTCTGTAGTCCCAGATACTCAGGAGGCTGAGGTGGGAGGAGTGCTTGAGCCCAGGAGGTCAAGTCTACAATGAGCCATGATTGCACCACTGTGCTCCAGCCTGGGGGACAGAGTGAGACCGTGTCTCAAAAAAAAAAGAAAGAAATACTACTTGAAAGGTAGGACACCATGAATGATTATTGGAAGAACTATTGAAATATGTAAAATCCAGTTTTTGGAAAGAGTGTCACCTGCCTCACCTACTGCACTCCTGTTTCCTTCTGCAGCCTGCTTCCCTTCTGCCCACACCTGAAGTTCCTCACCTTTTTCATTTTTCAATATACTTCTCACCTTCTAATATAGCACGTAAATTCCTTGTCTATTACCTGTATTGTTTCTTGTCTCCATCTCCCTGCTGGAATGCAGACTCCATGAAGGCAGAGTTCCGTGCTTTGTTCACTGCTACATTCCCAGTATTTAATGCATAGCAGGCACCCAGTCAATATTGAATGAACAAAAGTGCTACAAAGAAATTGATATAAAAGTGCTAAGAAATTGATATAAAACTACAAAGAAATTGATATAAAATGATCCTGGGTTTGTTTTTCAAAATATTTATATAATAATGATACATGTAATATTTATAGAAAATACATGGACAGATATACCAAATTTTAGATGATAATTAATTTTAGAGAGATGAGATTACAAGAGGTTTTCTTTTTCTATTTTATATAATTCTTACTGTTTCTTACTTTTACAACAAATATTACTGTGAAGTAAAAAATGTACTATTATACTTGTTAATATATATTTGTTATAATAAAATTAAATAATTAAGGAATTTGGTTGAATCTGAAAACAGGAGCTTTGTGGTTTTATGGGTGACACAGGTCAAAGTGGAAGAAAGTTATATTATTAATATAGTAGTCTTTTTTTTTTTAAAGTTTGATGCCATTCTTTTGATAATCTTCAGTTGGTGTTTTTAACATAAGACTCGCCTCGCTCACTGTGAGCTGGTAAGATTCCACGGAGGAGTCATCTATTTCTTTTTTCCTCAGTGGCATAATAATAATTTTAGCTAGCTTGCCATCTGGGGACCCTTCCTAAGTGGTAGATAAGAAACTTAAACTAGGATTGTACTTTACCGTCATATTTCCCCACGCAGCACTGTTACTGGCATAAATATATGAGCAAGTGGCTAGTGAGAGAGTGATGCCTCTGGCGGGGTATCTGATGGTGAGGTTGACTGAAAACTGAGTGGAAGAGAAGGCGAAGTATCAGATTGCCAAAAGGGCTTTTATTCTTAGCTCAGCCATTCATATATCCTGCAAAGAGCTGGTCAGCAAAAGGTGCTTATTGAATTACACCTCATAACAGGCAGAATTTGAACGCTGTTCGTCACAGGAGCTATGGAGTGCATAGTTTTATAGAGAGTATCTCCCCACAGGCAAGATCCATAGAACAGGTGCAGAATTACAGCATATACTCATTTCGCCTCTTGTTAAATAAAAGCAAAGACAGCCTCATGCGATCCTGGGTGCTTAGTAGAATATCCATTATAGAGCATTTTCTTTTGTTTTTGCTAATCTTTTTACTTGTAGATTTCCCATTTTTTTAAAAAAGTTATAGTCATTTTTCCAAACCACTAAAAAGGACATTTATGTTAAAGACTGTTTCAGTAAAAAGGTTTACAACTATGCTTTTGTTTAAAGTATTTCTCCTAAGTATATACTATCCATTTAAAATATTGGGTTGGTGCATTACTTTTAATGGCAAAAACTGCAATTACTTAATAAATTGGTTAAGATAGAGGAATGCCGAGTCATATATCCTTGCCCCAAAATTAAATATTTGAAGGGATATGCCTTATTTTATTTCTGGGATAGAATGTTTTTCATTTTCAGGTTACTGAAGTGTAGTTTTACGAAACTACTAAATCTGAGACTGCTAAGCACCTTCCCTGTGCCAGGCACAGCACTGGGTAGGATGAGGGCCCTGGGAGTAAATATTCTGGGACAGGCACAGGGGGTGTACAGGGAAAGAGTCTTTCCTCTCTGTGGCGTCTGGGAGGCTTTAGGATGTGGGAAAGATGGTCTCCTCATCTCAGTTGCCCCTCATTTTCAGGCAGACGTGTATGAAATGATTACACTCCCCTGAAAGATCAGCTTCTACATAATTCAAGATCATCCTCGATTTCTTTCATCAGAGAGGAAGAAAAGCCACATGAATTATTTACAGAACACTAAGTTATTTCCTTTTATGAGTTCCAACTTTGTTTTTGTCTCTGCAAACTGAGATTTTGTTTATCCATGAATAGTTTCCCCAGGGGCATGAAAAGTATGACTTTTAAATTATGAATGAGGTTTTTTGTTTCAGTCCATGTTAACTAAAACATGCAAAATAAAACTATGTTTTTCATTAGATCCCTTTCAGCTCCCTGCAAAAACAGAACCAATGAAAGAACGAGCAGTTCAACCAGCACCCACCAGGAAGCCCACTGTAATTCGAATTCCAGCCAAACCAGGAAAATGTAAGCACTTCTCTGCTTCCTTCAATTTGCTTCTTCAAGAGCCTGGGAGAAATATATGCCAATTTATCAATGTCTGCTTTTGAAATTATGTATAATCTCTCATTCATAGTCAAAGCTATTTAAAAGCAAGTTGTTTTTTCACAATTCTTTGAAGAATTAGTTCAGTAAATTTGGATTACCTTACTCTTTCCCTTTCCCTTCCTTTCCCTTTCCCCTTTTTTTTTGGGAGTCTCACTCTGTCACCCAGGCTGGAGTGCAGTGGCGCGATCTCAGCTCACTGCACCCTCTGCCTCCCGGTTTCAAGCAATTCTGTCTCAGCCTCCCGAGTAGCTGGGACTACAGGCACACACCACCACACCTGGCTAATTTTTGTATTTTTAGTAGAGACGGGGTTTCATCTCATTGGTCAGGCTGGGGATTTCATTTTTCTTTAATGTTGTCTTTAGACAGAGAATAAAGGGAGACTGAAATTTAGAACAATTAGTATATCCCATGTTAACACCTCTGGTACAAATTTGGTGGGAAAATAATCTAAACTAATAGCAAATAAAGGTTGTATATGTCTATCAGTCATGAGTATATTATTCCAATCAGCATAATCTCAAATATGGCTATGTGTGAATTCTGTGAAGAGCAGTAACCAAAAGCTTGAAATAATAGTTTATAAAAATACTTCTTAAATTGGCCAGGCACAGTGGTTCACGCCTGTAATCCCAGCACTTTGGGAGGCCAAGGCAGGCGGATCACGAGGTCAAGAGATCAAGACTATCCTGGCCAACATGGTGAAACCCCGCCTCTACTAAAAATACAAAAATTAGCTGGGCGTGGTGCTGCGCACCTGTAGTCCCAACTACTTGGGAGGCTGTGACAGGAGAATCACTTGAACCTGGGAGGCGGAGGTTGCAGTGAGCCGAGATTGGGCCACTGCATTCCAGCCTGGTGACAGAGTAAGAATCCTTCTCAAAAAAGAAAACTTCTTAAATTAGTGTAACGTTACATTTTGGTTTACTTCCTTACTTTTTTTTTTTCCTTACTTGATTTTTTAATAGTATAACATGTGAAATTCGGTAGGAGCTTTAATAAGTACTTCAAAAAGAAATCTGATATTTATTATAATAGGAAAGCCACAAGGGCCAGTACTATTTATTTTAGGCACCAGATTATTAAAAAGTGTGATTAAAAGTGTGTATTTGTATGTGTACACACACACACACAGTGGGTTCCAGAGCAGTTCATGGCACTGCTTGGAGTGATCACACAGCTTTCTCTGTGGGCCTCTAATTTCATTTATGCCTGCAATGCCTTTATATTATAGCCCACAGGCATTCTTGCCTTTGTCTAACGAGATTCTGCCCACTTCATTCCTCCTAAAGCAGAACAAGCATCCCACTCTTTCACCTGTACACCCCGGATTGTACTGCAGGCATTTTCCCTTTATTTTAGGAGTTTGGTTTTTCCATAAAGCACTACCCAGAAGGATCAGTCTCTTGGTTTCAGTGTCTTCTTGATGATTCTGTTACTAACTGATGGATCTCAGCCAAGTAGCAAGAAAATTGAACGGAGTTGCTATGAAGAATGTGGAGGAGAAAAACATCAGAGGTGTCAAATTCTGATTCTAGTTTCTTAGGAAGTTATATTTTATTTTTTTAGAGGTAATATTTTAATGTTAGATTTAAAAACCAGTGGTAGCCAGGCATGGTGGCTCACACCTGTAATCCCTGCACTTTGGGAAACTGAGGTGGGCGGATCACTTGATGAAACCCCATCTCTATCAAAAATACGAAAAAGCCAAGCATGGTGGTACACACCTGTAATCCCAGCTACTTGGGAGGCTGAGGCACGAGAATTGCTTGAACCCGGGAGGCGGAGGTTGCAGTGAGCCGAGATCATGCCACCGCACTCCAACCTGGGCAATAGAGCAAGAACTCCATCTCAAAAAAAAAAAAAAAAAAAAAAAAAAACTGGCAATATGTTTCTTTTGACAGTATTATATAGCCCACAGATCAGTAAAATGATAGCTCATTGGGTTGTCTGCCTGTTTGCTATTACTTTGTTAAATATATTCTGTATTTTAACAGGTATACTAACATATAATGATGAGAAATATTGCCTGGATTTTAAGTAATACAACTTTTACAGAAATTAGTAATAAATACAAATTTTTAAATTTATTCATCTGTTGTGTCATTGTCCCTAAGACCACCCACAGGGTTGATGATTCACTAGGAGGACTCACAGGACTCAACATATAGTTGTATTTATGGCTATTATTTATTATAGCAAAAGTATAAGAGGTACAATCAGCAAAGAGAAAAGGCAGATGTGAAGTCTGGAGGAAACCAGATGCAAGCTTCCAAGAGTCTTCTCCTGGTGGAGTCAGAGGACATACGTAACTCCTCCAGCAATGAGTCGTGACAACGCGTGTGAAATGTCAACCAGAGAAGCTCACTACTGATTCAGTGCCCAGGGTTTTTATTAGGGGCTGGTTATGTAGGCACTCCTAGAAATTTTGGCACATAGCAAAATTCCAGATTTCCAGGAGGAAAGCAGATGTTCAGCATCAACCACATATTCTGTTTTATCAGTTTTGAGGATGGTGAGAACTGTCCCAAAGTCCAAGTTCCTATATGCCAGTCAAGGACCAATCCTGTGGCTGGGTATGGTGGCTCATGCCTATAATCCCAGCACTTTGGGAGGCAGAGGCAAGTGGATCACCTGAGGTCAGGAGTTCAAGACCAGCCTGGCCAACATGGTGAAAACCCATCTCTACTAAAAATACAAAAATAAGCCGGGCGTGGTAGTGTGTGCCTGGCTGATGCAGGAGACTCGCCTAAACCCGAGAGGTGGAGGTTGTAGTGGGCTGAGATCATGCCATTGCCCTCCAGCTTGGGCAACAAGAGCGAAACTCACAAAAAGGGACCAATCTTGTAAGTAGTACTTCCTAGGGATGAAGTCTCAGGCCTGCTATGTTTACTTTTTCTGCACACTCGTAAACTGCATTAATAAGCTCTGAAATCCTGAAAAGGATATGCTGAGGAAGCAACTTTAATTATTATCCTGACAAAGCTCCAAGAACTGGTAGAAAATTGAATTCTAGGAGTTCGAGACCAGCCTGGCCAACATGGTGAAACCCCGTCTGTTCTAAAAATATAAAAATTAGCCGGGCTGCAGCCATAAAAAAAGAATGATTTCATGTCCTTTGCAGGGACATGGATGACGCTGGAAGCCATCATTCTCAGCAAACTAACACAGAAACAAAACTAAACACCCCATGTTCTTACTCACAAGTGGGAGCTGAACAATGAGAACACATGGACACAGGGAGGGGAACAATATACACCGGGCCCGTTGGGGAGTTAGGGGTTAGGGGAGGGAGAGCATTAGGACAAATACCTAATGCATGTGGGGCTTAAAACCTGGATGACAGGTTGATAGGTGAAGCAAACCACCATGGCATATGTATACCTATATAACAAACCTGTACGTTTAGCACATGTATCCCAGAACTTAAGGTAAAATTTTTTTAAAAAATTATTTTAAAAAATGAATAAATAAAAATAAAGGCTCAATTAAAAAAAAAAAAATTAGCCAGGCATGGTGGCACATGCCTGTAATCCCAGCTACTTGGGAGGCTGAGGCAGGGAAATCACTTGAACCCAGGAGGCAGGGGTTGCAGTGAGCCAAGATCATGCCACCACATTCCAGCCTGGGCAACAAAGCGAGACCTCGTCTAAAAAAAACAAAAAGAAAGTTGAATTCTATACTGCTAAATGTAGGAGAACTGAAATGACAGAATGATTTCTAGAGAGTTATTTCTATTTATGTCAAAAATCAGTTCCTCAGAATTTTGTTAATAAGCAATGCATATATTCTGTGGAGGGAAAAGAATTAAACTTTGGTGTCTGAAGAATTTGGGAAAAAGGGGATAAGCTTCATGGTGCAAATGTCCTTGATCTTACTTGAACCTGTCAGCTCCTTTCCTCTGGGGCCTGTTTCTTCTGACCAGGTTGTCCTTTTCCCAGATGTCTGCAAGGCTCCCTCCCTCACCAATCCTTCAGATCTTTGCTCAATGCCACTTTTTCTCAGAGACCTTCCCTGACTACATTATTTAAAATTGGAAATCTCCTTCCTCCACATCCCACACATACTCACACCAGATACTCCCTGTGTTCCTCCTTCCAGTAAGCTATCTCCTTTCTACTTTCATATTACTGGCGTATACTCTTAAATATTTGTCACAACAGTATTATATTCTAAATGATCAACTATTTCCTTGTAAGAATACGGAAACCACAGCATAGAAAATATCTTCAAGATGGTGACTGAGTTGGATGTTTTTATTATATATGTCTTAATTCCCAGAGCCTCTCACTAAGAATGTTTGCCTCGCTCTAAATCATTGTTTTCCTAGTTGCTGGCCTGGGTATTTTCCTCCCTTTGAGAATGTTTTCCTGTCTGCGGATAAAACAGAAACCTGACAAATCATCTTCTTGTTATAGGTTTATCACATGAAATGGAAGTAGAGAGTGTACATTTGAAAAAAAAAAGAAAAGAAAGAAAGAAAAGAGAGAGAATGCTTATCTGCTCATCTCCTTTTAATGCCTAAACCAAACTGTAAAAGGTGGCTTTAGCATCCTTCAGTATGTTACAGTCATCCACTCTCCAGTTGTTTTTGCGCACTCATTTTAATTAACTGTCACTAATTAAATCTGGTCATCTTTGTTTCCTTCTTTTTAAAATAAGTTGGGGGTAAATTATCACTGATATGGCTGTGGTTTGGATGTAAAGGTATTGTTTAATTGAGGGCAGTTATGTTCATTAATCAGAAGCTAATGAATTAGAAAACACATTGGCCGGGCGCAGTGGCTCACGCCTGTAATCCCAGCACTTTGGGAGGCAGAGGTCTCCTGATCACGAGGTCAGGAGATCGAGACCATCCTGGTTAACACGGTGAAACCCCGTCTCTACTAAAAATACAAAAAAAATTAGCTGGGCGTAGTGGCAGGCACCTGCAGTCACAGCTTCTCCGGAGGCTAAGGCAGGAGAATGGTGTGAACCCGGAAGGCGGAGCTTGCAGTGAACTGAGATCACACCACTGCACTCTAGCCTGGGTGACACAGCGAGACTCCATCTCAAAGAAAAAAAAAAGAAAGAAAACACATTGAATTATTTTTGGATGAGAGAGTGTTGAATACACCACTATTAAGAAGGAGCATGTCTTATCAAAATGAACATGGACTTTTAGGTTCAAAACAATGGATCTGACAATTACTAGCAGTAAGACCTTGGTTAGCGCATTTATTTTCTTAGCTTCAGTTTCTTCATCTGTAAAACAGGTAGGATATTATCTAGTCTAGCGCTGTGCAATAGAACTTTTCTGCAAAGATAGAAATGTTCTTTAACTGTGCTGGTAGTCACTAGTCACAGTGGCTAGTATTTGAAATGTGGCTAGTGAAACTGAGAAACTGAAATTTTAATTTAATTTTAATTAAGATTTAAGACAATCATTAGATGTAGCTACTAGCTAGTGGACTGGACAAATCTAGCACATAGATCTTGGTTGGTGAAATGTATGTAAATATAAAGCCTAACTTAATGCCTGTCACATAAAAGGTTCTCAACAATGCTGGCTGCTGTTGTAATTATTTAGTATTATTTTCACTCTCTATAAAACATATAGTGAAATTAACTGATGTTGACTATCACATCAATTTTCTGAAGTTTGCTGGGAGCTCTTTCTCATTTTCTTAACTATTTGTGTGTATCTTTTATGATAGCCATTTTTCTAATAAACTAAGCAGCAATCATTTCGTTCTTTGGAATCCTAAAAACTAGAAATTATTGATGAATTACTGCTACTTTTTCCAGGTTTACATGAGGATCCACAAAGCCCACCTCCTCTCCCGGCTGAAAAACCTATTGGAAACACTTTCAGTACAGTATCTGGAAAACTCAGTAATGTTGACAGAACTAAAAACTTGGTAAGTGGTCATTATAGATTGTATTAGATTGAAGACGTAGTTATGCATTAATTTTGAATAGTCAGCTAATATCTAAATTATTTTATTCCTGGTCAAATTAAAAACAAGAACCCTCTATTAGAGACCAGTCTCTAAGCCCCATGTACTTACATAATGTAGTGTTCAATATGTTAAAAGTCCCTATAGAGAGATTAGGCCAATTCATTGTACTTCACTATAAAATAATTTGTATACCAACTTAATGACACTGTCTTTTAAATGAAACTAATAATGAGAAGGTTATTAAAATCTCTAAACACCTTTAATATTCAGGGAAATAACTTTATTCAACTTGTCGGTTTTTATTTAAAATATCCAATTAGTGACCAAAATTTAAGATAATTACCATAAGAATTTTTAAATCTGAAATTTAAGAAAAATGTATTTTTTTAATTTAAAAAATAGTGTTTTACTGTGCACTTGTTAAGATGGTGGTCAAAGATTTTTTTTCAGTAAATATATATATTTTTCATTTCAACCTCAATATCCTCATACTTTTTTTTTTTTTGGTCTTCCAACTTTTGTGGTTTCTTGGGGAAACAGACATGCAACAAGTAATTAGAGAAGTGATTTAAGAAAAAGAATAAAGTTGGCTGGACGCGATGGCCCCCACATGTAATTCCAGCACTTTGGGAGGCCAAGACAGGTGGATCACCTGAGGTCAGGAGTTCGACACCAGCCTACTTAACATGGTGAAACCTCGTTTCTACTAAAAATACAAAAATTAGCTGTACGTGGTGTCGTGTGCCTGTAATCCCAGCTACTCAGCAGGCTGAAGCAGGAGAATTGCTTGAACCTGGGAGGCAGAGGTTGCAGTGATCCAAGATCGATTGCACTCCAGCCTCGGGCGAGAGAGAGAGAGAGAGAGAGAGAGGGAGAGAGAGAAAGAATAATGGCTTTCAGAGGACGTTATGGGAATCCTGATTATTTCCTCTTTTTTAAATTGACAAATAATAATCGTACATATTCTTGGGGTACATAGTGATGTTTCAGTACATATACTGTATAGGGATCAGATCAGGGTAGTTAGCATATCTGTCATCTCAAACATTTTTCACCACTTCTGTTTGGAATGCTCAATATCTTCCTTCCAGTCATTTGAAGCTATATATTATTGTTAACTATAGTCATCCTATAGTGGTATAGAACACTAGAATTTATTCCTCCTGTCTGGCTGTAATTTTGTATTCTTTAACAAAGCTCCTTCTCTCTCCCTTCTTTCTACCCTTCCCAGCCTCTAGTATCCTCTGTTCTACTTTTTATTTCTATGAGATCAACTTATTTTTAGCTTCCATATATGAATGAGAAGATGCAGTGTTTAACTTTCTGTTTCTGGCTTATTTCACTTAACATAATATCCTCCGGTTCCATTTATGTTGCCACAAATGACAGGATTCCATTCTTTTTTATGACTAGATACTATTCCATGGTGTACACATGCCACATTTTCTTTATCCATTTGTCTGTTGTTGGACACCTAGGTTGATTCCGTATCTTGGCTATTGTGAGTAGTGCTACAGTAAACATGGATGTGCAGATGTCTCTTCAATGTAATTTCCTTTCCTTTGAATAAATTCCCAGTAGTGGGCTTGCTGGATCATATGGTAGTTCTATTTGTAGTTTTTTGAGGAGCTTCCATCCTGTTTTCTACAGTGATTGTACTGGGTTACATTCCCACTAACAGTGTATAAGAATTCCCCTTTCTCTGCATTCTTGCCAGCATTTTTTTTTTTTATCTTTTAGATAATAGCCATCCCAACTGGGGTGAAATGATACCTCATTGCCATTTTGTTGTGAATTTCCCTGATGATTAGTGAGGTTGAGCATTTTTTAATGTATTTGTTGGCCATTTGTGTGTCTTCTTTTGAGAAATATCCAGATCTTTTTCTTTTTTTTTTCTTTTTTTTCTTTTTTTGAGATAGGGTCTTACTGTGTCTCCTGGGCTGGAGTACAGTGATATGATCACAGCTCACTGCAGCCTTGACCTGGGCGCAGGGGATCCTCCCACCTCAGCCTCCTAAGTAGCTGGAACTTTAGGCGCATGCCACCACACTCAGCTAATTTTTTGTGTTTTTTGTAGCGACAAGTTTTGCCACGTTGCCCAGGCCATTCTTGAACTCCTGGATTCAAGCAGTCATCTGGCCTCCACCTCCCAAAGTTTATTTGCCCACTTTAAAATCAGACTGTTTGGGTTTTTTGCTGTTATGATGTTTGAGTTTCTTTTGTATTCTAGATACTAATCCCCTATCAGATGAGTAGTTTGCAAATATTTCTTGCCATTCTGTAGGTTGTCTTTTCACTCTTGATTTTTTCCTTTACTGTGCAAAAGATTTTTGGTTGATATAAACCCATTTGTTTATTTTTACTTTTGTTGCCTGTGCTTTTGAGGTCTTATTCATAAAACCTTTTTTAAGACCAATGTACTGAGCCGTTTTCCCAGCTTTCTTCTAGTCGTTGTATTGTTTCAGGTCTTAGATTTAGGTCTCTGAGTTGAGTCTTGTAGAGTAAGTGGGAGGGTTTAGTTTCATTCGTCTGCATATGAATATCTAGTTTTCCCCAGAGCCTTTATTGAAGAGACTGTGCTTTCCCCAATGACTGACCTTGACACTTTTATCAAAAATCAATTGGCTGTAGATACGTGGATTAATTTTTGGATTCTCTATTCTGTTCCATTGGCCTATGTGTCTGTTATTATGCTAGGTCCATGCTGTTTTTGCTACTACATCTTTGTGCAGTGTATTTTAAAGTTGGTAGTGTAGTGCCTCCACCTTTGTTCTTTTGGCTCAGGATTGTTTTGACTATTCAGGGTCTTTTGTGGTTCCGTACAAGTTTTAGGATTTTTTTTTTCTATGTTTGTAAAGATGTCATTTGTATTTTGATAGGGATTGCATTGAATCTGTAGATTTCTTTGGGTAATATTCTCATTTTAACAGTATTAATTCTTCTAATCCATGAGCATAGAATGTCTATTTGTTTGTATCCTTTGTATCTTCCATTTTTTCATCAGTGTTTTGTAGTTTTCCTTGTAGAGGTCTTTCACTTCCTTAGTTAAATTTATTACAAAGTATTTCTTTTTGTAGCTATCGTAAATGGGATTGCCTTCTCAATTTCTTTTTTTAGCTAGTTCTTTGTCATGTATCGAAATGTTACTGATTTTTGTATATTAATTTTGTATCCTGCAACTTTACTGAAATCATTTATCAATTCTAAGAGGGATTTTTTAGTAGAGTCTTTAGGTTTTTCTAGATATGAGATCACACTTTTTTTTTTTTTTTTTTGAGATGGAGTCTCGCTCTGTCGCCTGGGCTGGAGTGCAGTGGCATGATCTTGGCTCACTGCAACCTCTACCTCAACAGTTCAAACAGTTCTCCTGCCTCAGCCTCCCAAGTAGCTGGGACTACAGGCGTGCACCACCATGTCCAGCTAATTTTTTTTGTATTTTTATTAGAGACGGGGTTTTATCATGTTGGCTGGGCTGATCTTGAGCTCCTGACCTCAAGTGACCCATCAACCTTGGCCTGTCAGAGTTTCAGGATTACAGGCATGAGCAACCACACTGGACCACACTCATTTTTTTTAGATGTCCATATGGCATATGATCTTTAAGGCTTGTTTTAAGAGAAATTAACTTTTAAAGTCTTTGAACCAAATTTGCAGTTCAAATTTCATAATGGTTATTTACATTGTGCATTAACTATGTTTATTATACAGGCAAGCCCACCTAATCATCTGGCAAAGAAAAATTTCTTTGAAGGAGACATTAAATTAAATTAGCCAATATCTAGTTAATGAGATTTTCCTGAAGAATGAGTTAAAATTTAGTGATCACTTGTGATTTTCAAAGTAGCTGGTAATAAATTTTTATTAAATCTGGGCCAAGAAAGCCCAAAAGAGGATAGTAGGGTTCCTACCACACTAATGTTAAATAGGAAAATCCCAAATTCCCGTGGAGGAAAAGTTGCCTGAGAAGGTTACTGGCTTCTACTCTGAAATAGTTATAAAAAGGAGTGAGAGGGTGATAAGTAAGTAAAACATCATTCATTAATAGCCATCATATGTAATGTCCATCATACTTAATGGACTTCATAAACTATAAAGCTCTATTGAAATAATATTGGGGTGCACGGTGGCTCACACCTGTAATCCCAGCACTTTGGAAGTTCAAAGCGAGTGGATCACTTGAGATCAGGAGTTTGAGGTCAGTCTGGCCAATATGGTGTGAAACCTCATCTCTACTAAAAAGACAAAAGCCGGGCATAGTGATGAACACCTGTAATCCCATCTACTTGGGAGGCTGAGGCAGGAGAATCGTTTGAACTCAGGAGGTGGAGGTTGCAGTGGGCCGAGATTGCACCACTGCACTCTAGCCTGAACAACAGAGCAAGACTTGTCTCCAAAAAAGAAAGAAAAGTATTGTACAAAAATGAGCTAGGTGTGGTGGCACACACCTGTAGTCCCAGCTATTATTATTCCAATGGAATAATATTCCAAAATATTCCAAGATTATTCCATCTTGAACAAAAAGGTGGAATCTGCAGAGACAATACAAGCAGGAAAACCAACTTCACCAGAAGCTAAAACGCTTGTCCAAACACATTAAAAGCCAGAGTTCAGGGATATCAGAGCTAGAGAAAAAGTACCAAAAAGCAAATGCAGAGAGCCTTCAGGTTATTTGTGGAATACCCACGAGGAGGAAGTCCCTAATCAGTTATCTTGCAAAGACTCAGCAGAACCTGGACATAAACCCAGACTTGAGCAAACACTAAGACAGTGGCTCCTGCAAGAACTGTCTCCTTCTCTCAATATTTGGAGTATGTCAGATACAGAAGTGCCTTTAGGAATGTGCCTAACATCCCTAAAGAATTTGGATGTGGCCGGGTGCGGTGACTCACACCTGTAATCCCAGCACTTTGGGAAGCCGAGGCGGGCAAATCACGAGATCAGGAGATCGAGACCATCCTGGCTAACATAGTGAAACCCCGTCTCTACTAAAAATACAAAAAAAATTAGCCGGGCGTGGTGACGGGTGCCTGTAGTCCCAGCTACTTGGGAGGCTGAGGCAGGAGAATGGCATGAACCCGGGAGGCAGAGCTTGCAGTGAGTCGAGATTGTGCCACTGAACTCCAGCCTGGGCAATAGAGCGAGACTCTGTCTCAAAAAAAAAAGGAATTTGAATGTGCTACTCCTTTTCTCTGATTTAAAATTTTCTTACTGTTGCAAATTAAGAAATTAAAAAGATGTTTAAGATTTCCCATAAAAATACCACCACCGAGGAAAAACTACAGCTAATATTTGGTACAAAATTAGGGTCATATGCTATGCATTTATTACAGTACATCATCTGCATCTTTCCATGTCAAATTTATACATCTATTTTTTAAATTTTCTTTATCAAGGTATCTAATAATTATAGCTTTGATAAAAGCAATTAAAGTTTCTTCCTATCTGCTAGAGTTTGTTTTAATTTTAAAGGTAGCCACAGAAATAAATGCATTTTTCAAGCATCTTAGCAATATTTGTCAGGAAAAATATAGGCAGCAGTGTAATTATAAGGCATGGATTATATTCTGGAATATTGCAGGGTTTATGAGCTGGTTACTTGCCTCACTACATTAACTGAACTCATTAGTGAAACCAAGTTTTAAGGGCAAGCTTAATTTGTTTTTTAAAATGGGATTTTATAACATTGAAACATGTTTAAATGATCACAGTTATTGGCAATTAATCATTTGGTATTTAAGGAAAAGGTTATAAATATTCAGTATAATTTAAAAATCATGAAAGTGAGTTTTGGCTCATTTATAAGAAGGAGGAAAACAGTCTGAAGTAGCCCAAAGATTCCCAAGCTTTAATTAAACCTCCTTTACCAAAAAAAAGTGTAATTTAAAGGGTCAGCATTTTTTTTCTTATGAAGTTTTGGAGAAATATTATTTCCTGAGTGCTAGTGTTGGGGACTTAGAAAGTAGGAAAAGTGGGGGAAAAAAAAGACAGAGTTAGAAGAATTTAGTGAGGGACTGGGGGTGGTGGCTCACGCCTGTAATCCCAGCACTTTGGGAGGCCAAGGCAGGTGGATCACTTGAGGTCAGGAGTTCAAGACCATCCTGGCCAACATGGTGAAACCTCATCTCTACTAAAAATACAAAAATTAGCCAGGTGTGGTGGTGCACACCTGTAGTCTCAGCCACTCGGGAGGCTGAGGCAGGAGAATCACTTGAACTTGGGAGGCAGAGGTTGCATTGAGCTGAGATTGCATCACTGCACTCCAGCCTGGGGGACAGATCAAGACCATCCTGGCTAAACCATGGTGAACCCTCTTCTTACTTAAATTACAAAAAATAGCCCAGGCAGGGGGAGTGGCCACCTGTAATCACGCGCTACTTCAGGGAGGCTGAGGGCAGGAGAATGGGCTGAACCGGGAAGCAAGGTT